ATTAACAAACACAACAGAGATATTAAAAAAAAAAAAAAAAAAAAGAATGCTAAGAAACTTTCTTTGAAACTAGGACTGAAAATAATTGCGGAAAATTTTTATATATATAAACCGCTAATAAATAAGACTGCAACTTACCAAATGAAATAAACAGGGTTCGTACACATTTTTACCAATAAATTTCCATGACTTTTGAGACAATATTCATGACCTAAATGTTCCATTATTTTACAATAAGAATAAAAATATTTTCAAATTATCATAGCATATGTTAACTAAAATGAATGACTATTAATGCTACTCGTTTGCTTTCTTGTTTTAGTAATAAGTACAAGCTGCAACTGCGCCAGACGTTACTCCACATTTCACATCACTGAATATTATCATTTATTTAACTGTGTGGCCAGGATGGCCATTTTGGTGTCATTTTGTGTGTATTTTTGCTGCTTAAATGCAACAAGCTGCGCTTTAGAGCCCTGCATTTCAGCCTGAGCCCAACGGCCCCAACTTATTTATGGCTTCGGGACAATTTTCACGTCATAGCTCAGACACGGGCCAGGCATCAGGCTTGCTTCCTCCTTATTTTTATGTTTTAGATATCCATCAATTATTATGGTGACGACAAAGATTTGCCGCACTGGTGGAAACAACCCGAGACCGCTGTGTTACCGCGACTGTCAAGAGTGGCTCGGACGGTGTTTAGTGTCCAGCAGCAGCAAGTGCTGTGCTTTAACATGATGATCTGAATCAGGTGTTCATTTTTGAACAGTTCATTTTTGTGAAGCGCTCCTGCTCAAGACCGAGACAGCAGAAAGCGTATCCTGTTTGTTTTCTAAAAAAGCACAACGTAGGCTGATATAATGAGTGCACACAAATAAAAGTAGACCCTTAACAGTTCCGAATGATGTATTACTCTTACCGTTATGAGCAAAAATGACGGTTGTTTCCACTGTTATAAGAAAAAATGCAAGTGATCGTGCTGGCGACTCCATGTCCTGCAAAGCGCGCTTTAGCTTCTCTGCACAAACGATTGGATACGCGCCTAATAGCACACATTTATCTAGGTTAACCATTTAAGCTAACATTGTTTTTTTAAGCATTTTATATAGGCCTATAGATTTTATTTTAGTCAAGTGGTGATGATTTGAGAAGGCTAAATTGATCAAACATAGGCTATATTTAACTCACTGTCTGCCACTGGCCGCTTGGTTGTTACTTTAACAAAACAAAAACTTGAATTTAACAAACAAAAACATTTTCCAAACATATTTCTAAATTAACGTAATAAAGAAACGAAAATATATATAACCACTTTTGCAATTAAAAACGAAACTAAACTATTTTAATGGCTACAACAGCAGCTGTGTAATTGGGGAAGAGAGAAAGAGAAAAAAGACACGGGCCAGTAATTCTGATAATCTGTCGGATAAGGGCCAGACTAGGGCATATGTTTGAGGCCCGTGCAGGGTTCTGATGAGCTTATTTAGTAGCAAACTTAATGTGGTACTGGCAAGGTGGCTTTATATACGCACAAGCGCACTTTGGATGTGACTGCGCACGGCCTCTGGAGCACGCGAGTACCGAATGGCTTAAAAAGACGTGCAAATAAATAATACAATTTTCTGACGATGCAACAATGACCCGATTAGGCAAGTGAAAATTCTGTCAACTGTCCCGAAATGCGAGTGAAAGTCTTGTATCGCAGCATGCAGCGGCTCTTGTAGCACAGACAAGATGCGCCGATGTGAAGCCGTTTGAAGAGAAAGTCAAAGAGAGAAGACGCGTACTGCTGAATCACTCATGCTGTTTTCAAATGACTGATTTGATCAATCTGTGTGGACTGGACTGGATTATTTACTCATCAAACCTACATGCTATAGGGCTATTGAATAAATGTGTGAATATCCATCATTTTAAAAAACCTGTTCTCAGCTTTAACATTAATAAATGATTATCTGGTGTAAACATGCATATGTCTAAGAGTAAATGTGTTTCATAAAATGGTTTTGTACTGCTCCTTCAAACCAAAAAAAATATTGATTTGTGATTTTTTGGAGGCAAACCAAAAAACAGTTAACAGACATTTACATTATTGTGGCAGATGAGTAAAACAAAACAAACGTTACAAAAACGTATTATTTATTAAATGTTTATTCAACTTACAGTCCTGGTTTAAATGATCAGTTTCTTTCAATTCTTTTTTTGAGGTAATTAGTGTACAATCTCTCTACATAAGTGTATATGTATGAAGCCCGAGGATTTAAAACGGCAGATTATACATGTATATATTATTATGGACACTAATAGTTATCGTTCTTTGTGTGAACGGGCTTTAAATCTATCAGTGACCTATAGCCCACAAAAATGCATTTAGTAACTGGACTAAATTAACCGGGTAAACTGTTTTAATTTAACCTGCTACTAAAGAGAAACTCACTGTCAAATTGTCCCGCAGTAGCTGCATGATCAATGTGCTGTCTTTGTATGATTCTTCATTCAGTGAATCAAGCTCTGCAATGGCCTCATCAAAAGCCTAGGAGAAAAAGATCAACCAAGAACAAGATGAGTGATAAGTTATGGGCATAAGATGATAATATTTTGAATTGACAATATAATTGTGGGTAACACTCTTAATATTGTTTATTAGTCTGTGTGGGTGTGTGTTAACCTTACCGTTTTGGCAAGCTTACAGGCCTGGTCGGGCGCGTTGAGAATCTCGTAATAAAATACGGAGAAATTGAGCGCAAGGCCCAGACGAATGGGGTGTGTGGGCTGCATCTCTGCCTTACTGATTTCAAAGGCATCCTTGTAGGCCTCCTGTGAATTGCCAATGATAGCTGGAGATACAAAGAGAAAATTGTGTGAATGTAGTTGCATATTTTCAAGATTTGATGATAATTAAACATCATTTATATAATAAACTTAAAGAATAATTTGTGTAACCATTTATGTCTAAAATGTCACTGAAACTGAACTATGAATTGAAATTGAAATTTAAACTTGGTACTGAATTGTTTTATAAAAGCAATTATCACACTCACACCTGTGCTAATGTGCTGAATATTTAAACTTGAGAACAACTTGTGTGATTTTGCTTTATTCTTTTCCTTAAACTTTGAATACATTCAAAAAGTAAAATTAAATGAGGAATAAGCACCAAAAATATTATTTTCAGCTGACATGAACAAACACTTATAAAGCTTGCTGTAAACCAGTGAAATGACTTTTCTCACTAGGGGGCATTAAAGCACAAACTTTCCAGTTAGGACAGTTCAGTTAGAAAGTGTTATAAAGCTCAGCACTAGGCACTTTTAATATTACACTATTACATTCTGTCAGAATTTAGCTATTCTGATCAACCAACAAAAGACAATTTAAAATTATGAAACTATATTTACAATTTACTATATATTACCAATTTAAATCATCACTAATTATTTTTATTTTGCCATTTTTAATAGCACTGCCATCCTGATAACTGCAATCACCCATTGTAAAATATTTTTTAGCTTATAACACATTTTTAGATCTATTTCCTCTGTAGAAGGCAAGTCTCTGCTCTGCTTTCACTATGCGTCACCTATGATTTGACAGACATGAAGAGCCACAACTGTTTCTTCAAGAGGCCATTTCTGTTTGATTGTACTCTGCTACTAGCAGACAAAAATCAGTCCATTTAAGGCAGGTCATGTCACTCGGTGGCCATCTTTGAAACGCCTCTCGGGCATGCAAGGGCAGCTCCTATCTCTTTGAATGGGGAAACATCAAATTCTCCAAAACTGTTCACTAAGCTTACGATTAAATTTCATATTTGAAATCACCAATGAAATCTGACAACAACTGTATCATAAATGTTGTTTATTTTGCTCAAATAGCGTTAAAAAAAGCTTATTTTTCAGGCTAGATCAGCCAGTGTGCATGCACAGTCCTAACCGCACGTCTCAGAGTGTTGACTGTGGGCGAATTCCAAGCGGCTTTTTTGTGCCCTTCAAGGGCACTTCAGGAAGGTAACGCCATTTGTAACTGAATCCCTTCACAAAGGGCCCTTCCAGAAGTCCGTTAGCGAAGGGAACATGCAATGGTCACTTCACGGAAGTGATTTCTGTTTGTGATCATGTGATCTTCAGTTAGGAGCTCTTGCGATGCATTTTAAAGCAAAGTTGGGGTTGATTTCCACTTCACATACAAAAGTAGGATAGGCTGATTAAATTTGTCTATTTTCATGTGATACTAAATAATTTTTTGTCAGTGATAGAAATATGATTTAAGACGGTCGTTTAAGCATATTTAGTTTTAAAAAGTTTAATAGTAAATAAGACACAATGAGACAATATTTAAATAAAATAATAATAATGCTTTGCCCTTTGAAGGGAGTAGGGCATAGGGATGCTCACTTCTTTTTGGAATTCGCCCTGTTTCTATAGCAACCGGGAACTCTAACAGCAGCTGCAGTGACACGCTCACTTTACCGAATAGTGATTGGCTCTTTTGCTCAGAAGGCGGGGCTTCGTTCGATAGAGCGGCCATACTGAATGTTGCATTTTTCTAGTGTTAATTTTGTCAGCTATTTTCATTTTAGTCTTAGTTCCGTGTTAAAATGTCCTTGTTAGTTTTTATCCTATTTAGTTTTAGTCAAGTTTTAGTCGACTAAAAGTCTCAACATTTTAGTCTAGTTTTAGTCAATGAAAACTTGACATTTTAGCAATAAGATTATTATTAATTAACCGTACAGTATTAATTTTGGCAGCCATTTTTAATTTAGTCTTACTCGTATGTACATTTTAGTTATAATATTTAGACAACCTTGTCCTGTTTTTGTTTAGTCAAGTTTTAGTCAATGAAATCTAAGTCACATTTTCGTCATTCTGTATAATGGTTAAACTGCTAAAAAATATTTTTTCTCAATTCCAATCGTAATTGTTATCATTTGAGAAATTTACTTTTGCATTTCAGGTATTGCAATTTCACCATTAAGCACAAATCAATAGAATGTGGTGTATTTTACCTCATCTACTGTACTGATTTATTATAGGCTTTTTATTATATAATTTAATACCAAATACTTATGCAATCTCTCGGTCTACATTATGACAACAGCTAAAACAAACGAAAAATATTATAATAGTGAAATTCCTAGTAGGCCTAAATCCAAATGGCAATAGCCTATTTCTCTATTCAAACAACAGCGGTAGAGTAAGTGCATTTATTCAGCGATCACAATCGCAAACAATACAGTCGAGATCTCATGACAGGACACAGACCTGCTGAATGACACTTTCATTTAGATTGCTAAACTCCAGCTTGTTTGTTGGTGTTTTCAGATCATCGGTGGCGGCGCTTCCGCAGTGAGGAGCGAGCGTGTGCGAATGGTTGCCAGATTGCTTAAAATAAGCAAAACACTGGGCAGAAAATGAATCAATGTAATTAATCTGATTCGGGGATTTGAGCTCCTGATATCTGGCAACCGCACTCATGAACGCTCGCGTGGTAGAGGCGTGTAGACCAGACCGCAATAACTTTTTGTCTCCTTTTTTTGACGAAAATAAAGAGGTTTTTGGTAAAGTTTGTATCTTTTTGAATACATTTTAGTCTCGTCTTATTTCGTCAACGAAATAGCATGTTGATATAGTCTTAGTTATCGTTTATTGACCTTATTATCGTCTCGTCTTAGTCATGGGAAAAAATCTCGTCAGCAAATATTTTTCATTATAGTCTTCATTAACGAAATTAGCACTACATTTTTCCCCATTCAAAACTATACGAGTGACACGTCTTGGGTATTCTATCCACCTTTTTCTTGCCGTAAAAATGGGCGTGGCCAGTTGTAAATTCTATGGGCCTAGCTTCCGGTCTCATCCGCATCCAGATATTTTTAGCTGTATAGAACCGCTCCTTTTGCTGCTTGATATTGAAAATTGGTATGTCTTACCATATTATTTTAATGTATTATCTTAATTATGAACACACTGGTTTGTAGTGCAAACAGTTTTACTGTTTACTGCATGTTGTTATTCTTCTCGTTTTTTCCCTATAGCGGCTAATGAACCAGAAGTCTCACCCATAGGCTTACTTCCACATTGAAGAAAAAGGTGGGTAGTCTTTGACACAAATAAACTAGGGATGCACCGATATGAACATTTTGGCCGATACTGATAACCGATAATCCTTTATTTTTGAAGTTAAATCAAAAATCTATATCCAAATTTGTATATACTTTTTGAGAGCCTGATTACAAAAAAGGTCTCATCATTAAAAACCACATCCCGAACACTTCAACATAAGCAGCCTAGTTTGAACGGTGTATGTTTTAAAAATAATTTTACTCTCCCATTACCAAATTTAGTCATAAAAAAGTCTTACAAATAAAATAATGCATAAATAATGCAAACAAGTCATTGGACATCATTACACGTGTAAAGAATCAAAATGAATGCGCCATAGATCAATAAAACGGAATAGTCTCTGCACGGACAATAATTAAATGATTTTAATTACTAAACCATATTGCTGATGAAAATAATAATAGAAAAATACAAGTGGTTGTTATTATTAATAATGTATCAATGATTTTGAAAAAGTAACAAATTAATACCACTGTTTTAAACAGCAGCCGTTTGAGCTGCGCGTGCTGAAGCTGAAGAGCTGAATGAATACGGTAAACTGAAGCGTTTTGCTGGCAGCTTATTTAACTCAAGGAAATGCATCCTGAGATTAATATTAAAACAACATAAACATAATATTACAACTTATATATGAAATGACAAATGACGCAGTTATTGCATGCTATAGTCAGAATGTGTGATCCTGTTGTGGATGCGCTCTTCCCATAACAACGCGCTGAAACACGGCAACTAAACCCAAAGAATTCACAACGTTTTATTATAATAATATTCTCATTAGAATGTTATATACACGACATTCCCAATCATAGTTATTAATGTTGTGCACTGCTGTTTGAGCTGCGTGCGCTGAGCTAAAGACGATCACCGGTAAACTGAAGCGCTCTTTTAACTTAACCAAACGCATTCTATATGAGATAAATCAGATATACATCAAATAAACACAATATTACAACGTACAATTGCACAAAAGGCTGCAAACGAACAGCGCGCATCTGAAGTGTCTCTGAAGGGTCTCTGAAGGAAATAATGCATTATTTATCGGCTTTAAGATATCGGCCAAATTTTCTTATTGGGCCGATACCGATAACAGAAAAAATGAGCATTTATCGGCCGATACCGATATGGTGGCCGATATATCGTGCATCCCTAAAATAAACCTCAAGATTTTCAGAATGTGTTGCTAACAACTTAGCACTAGGTATAAGATTTCACACTGTTAGAATGATGAAGGGCCTTTCAGTCAACACCATTGTACCAAGAGTACAGTGAGTCCTAAGCATCTGATGGCTTCAGTGAGAGACAACTGAATCAATATAAAAAGGGAATTATATTCCATTTCCTTCTTAACAAGACAGAACAGGAATCCGACAAGCTGTGAAGCAGCTCTGGAGCTCCACCCACACACAGGATCTCATTCATTCAGTAAGGTGGGTGGACTCACATGTCTGCACCTGTTCCAATGAAGGAAGGAAATCAGACTGCTAACCGTTTCCCCTGTAGACCTAAAGACCCTCCTTTTATTATTTTTTCTCTCTCTCTCTCTTTCCCATAACTGAATCCTAAGCCACACCCTGAGAGCCTGTCAACCTCCTGGCACAGGAAGGCTGCCGCAAGATTCTTCCTGTTATGCACACTGCGGCCCTGTTCCTTTCTGACTCTACCAAGACAGACAATGGAGAGCAAACCATTTCAAGGTTTATATAGTATCTGCTTTAAATAGAATAAGCCTGCGAACAGTGTCTGGTAATTACCTAAAACTACAACTGAAATGTTTGAGGTCGGCAAGTTTCTTTATATATATATATTTTTTAAGTTTTATGCTTATCAAGGATGCATTTATTTGATCAAATATACATAATTTTTATATTGTGAAATATTGCTACAATTTAAATAACTAATATAACATACAAATTATTTATTATAATTTCAAATGTAATTTATTCCTGTGATGGCAAAGCTGAATTTTCAGCAGCCATTACTCCATTCTTCAGTCTCACATGATACTTCAGAAATCATTCTAATATGCTGATTTGCAGCTCAAAAACAATTGTTCTTATTATTTATCATCTCATAATAAAAAAGAAAAAAAACAGTTGTGCTGCTTATGGAAACCGTGAAACATTTTTTCTGGATTCTTGGAAGAATAAAAAGTTTAAAAGAACAGCGTTTATTTGTTGTAACAAAGTAAACGATTTTTCTGTCACTTTTGATCAAATTAATTCATCTTTGCTGAATAAAAGTATTCATTACTTTCCAAAAAAATATAAAAAAATACTTTTGAGGCAAAAACATGGTACCATTTACTATTGAATTTTTCACTGAGGGAGGCAGAGTTTATGAATGGACCACAACTGATCACCACCCCCCCAAACACAGATCCTCTTTCGAGATTTCCACCCCCTTACTTCCTCTCAAGCTTGGCTTTGTGTCAACATTTTGCGGAAACGTTACATTTTTAGCAGAAGTTAGTATGGTCATAAGCAGGTGGTGGAGACTAGTCACTACCGCAGCTTTGAGAGCCATGCAGCATTGTTCAAATGCCTACATCATTAACTAGCTAACACAATCTGGCATTGTTAACCAGATTAATGATATAAGGAGCTCCAGGGGGTGCTAGACATCCATCTCAATCTTTCTAGTACATTTAAATTTACTAAATTCACAGCAGAACTTCTAACATTTAATTGAACAAAGAATACATTTTGTTTACACTGAAGTCAATGAAGTCCCAAACAAACCATTCTGGACCACAGTAACTTTCAATTTAAGGACCAAAAAAGAGAGAAAAGAAGAATAAAGTCATGCAGGTTTGGATGGAACAACCTGAGGGTGAGTACATTTTTGGATGAACTTTCCCTTCAATATTAAGGATAGACTTAAGAGAATGGCTTACAGCTTTTTTCCTCTCCCACAGCCACCTCCGCTAAGTAGCGAAAGTAATCGCCTTTCATTTTCAGATAGAAGACTTTACTTTCAGCCGGTGTTGCCTTTGGGATGAGGTACTTGTCCAGAAGAACCTGCAACACACAGACAAAAGAGAAAATTCATATTAGCGGTTTGTCAAATGGTTTCATGTCCTGGTTTCAGTGTGGTAGTAGGAAAGGGGGAAGTAGTCCAGAGTAGAACAAGAGTCAACAGTAGTAAAGAGATGAACAGATAAGATAGAGCTCTGTAAAACTAGTTTGACAACATGTTACAAAAAGAGGCCCAGGTGAAACCATGGAACCTCTTGAGCAAAATGTGTCCGGCACCGGGATGCCATTTACAGTATACACCCTTCACAGTAAAATACCCTTCACTCAGTCCCAACAATGTGGTTTCTAGAATTTCAGCATTCTGGGCATTTTTAGACGACAACCTTGGATTGCCTTTAGGGCTGACAGAGGCCCGACGGCTTGTGGCAAGACTGCAGTTTCACAGATGCTTCTGATACTTTCTGTTGCAGGGAGGGAGGAAGGGGAGAATGGGAAAATTGACTATGCTGTGTGAGCTAGAGCTCGTGGAAGTAGGTCATTGAGCTTGCTGGGCTTGTTCACAACTCGACTGGCCTGATTGTAGTCACCCTGAACAGAGCCACAAGCTCATCGTTGCAACACAAGCATCCTTAAACTCTCCAATGACACCCTAACAAACCACCTTAATGATGGCCAAACCACCTTAAAGGCACAATATGTAAGATTTTTTTTTTTAAATATCAAAAAACCACTAGAACAGTTTTATATATTTTGCTGACTTGTGTACTTACATTATCCCAAATGTTTCGAAGAATGTTTAAATCCACAGAAATAAGCAATTTTAACTAGTGACACGGACCGTGTTTATAGTGTCATTCTGTCACCTGCCAATGACGTCATACACCCTCGATTTCTTTTGTTTTGTAGAAAACATGGAAACACCAAAGACGCTTTAATATGCTATGCATTTTATTAGACAGGTGACGACCGCACAGAGTAGCATTATAACAGAACGTTCAAATGTATCTAGTATGATAAAACAGCACTGCTTACTTCCGCTGCTTTCCGGAAGGAGCGGAAGTGGTCGACTAGGCATGGGCCGGTATGAGATTCTGACGGTATGATAACCATAGATAAAAATATCAGGGTTTCACGGTATCGCGATTACAGCTCTAAAATATGTTATTTTTAAATGTCTGGGTAAAAAACAAAAAAAAAATTCCCCACTGAACACAATACATTTTATTTTTAAGAAACAGAGAACATTTTGGAACACTCTATAAACATGACAGGCTAAATAATTACAATAAATAATTCAATTATTCGTAATTAAATTAAGTGCAGTCACTTAAGTGGGCCTAAACCTGCAGCTCAACAATTAGAACATAAATAAATTCTTTTTTTTTTTTTAAATCCTTCTAAATGAAAAAAAAAAAAATGCAGTCATTAAACCTGCAGCTCAACAAGGTTTTTGGAGACATGCTGACTTTCTACACATTCCTCTTTCAGTCCAAGTTATGATGCAGTAATGTTCACCTTTCCTGGATTAAGTTTGGAGCGGTGAGGTACGAGGATGTGTGCACATACACATAAGGAAAGAGCTTGTTGTCTCTCACACACACACACCCACTCACTCACTCACGCACGCTCACTCACGCACTCACACAGTCTTTCTCCGTACAACACTCAAACAGTGGCAAAGACACCTGAGAGCCAGCAGTTTGTTTGTTTTTAAATGTCGTGATTTTGAACAGATGTAAACATTGGCAGGAGGCTTAAAAGTATTGACGTGATACCAGCTAAATTTAATTATTGTACTAAATCGCAGAAACGTAGTACTTTAGTCTGCTATTCCTCGCTCTGTGAAGTAATGTTAATGTGAGGGAGTAAACTAGTTGACATTAGCTAGTTAATTAGCCATGTTATCTGCCTCGGTAGCAAGCCAAATAGTATTTATTTCAACACTGAAACAAACGGCGGGTGGGTCTGTCTTGATCGGGGGTGAAAGAGGGAGAAATGAAGAGGACACATATGTAGTTTATGTACGACCTGGAAGTATTTATTTAGCGATCGGTGCTAAAACATCATCTGTACGGAACATGGTTAGTCTACGTCACACGAAAAATTCCCATACAGCAGACTTCATCTTTTTCGACGGGGGAAAAAGTTCCAGGAATTCACCTCCTTTGGCCATCCCACACACAGCTGACTCTCACTGACTGCTCGCAGCCTCGCACCAACCGGAGGTGGAGGAGTCATGTGACTCGTTACACTCGTCGCTGCACACAACCGAGGGAGTCCTGCACTTTCCGTCTTTGATGACACGTAAAATAAACTGTGCATACCGCAGGAACGGTATAACGGAAAATTTTAGTGGTTTTGAAACTGTGACTTTTCCAAACCACGGTATACCTTGAAACCGGTTATCGTCCCATGCCTACAGTCGACTGTGGCATAATAAAAGCTCCGCTGCTTTCGAGCTGTGTGTCGTGCTCGTTCAGCGGCCTCGTTTTGCTTCGAGGGCTTTCAGCCTCACCCTGCTTCATACTACGACGTTAATAAATCTTTAAAGGGGTCCTATTATGCTTTTTCACTTTTTCAACTTTAGTTAGTCTGTAATGTTGCTGTTTGAGCATAAAAAAGATCTGCAAAGTTACAAAGTTCAGACATGCTGACTTTCTACACATTCCTCTTTCAGTCCAAGTTATGATGCAGTAATGTTCACCTTTCCTGGATTAAGTTTGGAGCGGTGAGGTACGAGGATGTGTGCACATACACATAAGGAAAGAGCTTGTTGTCTCTCACACACACACACCCACTCACTCACTCACGCACGCTCACTCACGCACTCACACAGTCTTTCTCCGTACAACACTCAAACAGTGGCAAAGACACCTGAGAGCCAGCAGTTTGTTTGTTTTTAAATGTCGTGATTTTGAACAGATGTAAACATTGGCAGGAGGCTTAAAAGTATTGACGTGATACCAGCTAAATTTAATTATTGTACTAAATCGCAGAAACGTAGTACTTTAGTCTGCTATTCCTCGCTCTGTGAAGTAATGTTAATGTGAGGGAGTAAACTAGTTGACGTTAGCTAGTTAATTAGCCATGTTATCTGCCTCGGTAGCAAGCCAAATAGTATTTATTTCAACACTGAAACAAACGGCGGGTGGGTCTGTCTTGATCGGGGGTGAAAGAGGGAGAAATGAAGAGGACACATATGTAGTTTATGTACGACCTGGAAGTATTTATTTAGCGATCGGTGCTAAAACATCATCTGTACGGAACATGGTTAGTCTACGTCACACGAAAAATTCCCATACAGCAGACTTCATCTTTTTCGACGGGGGAAAAAGTTCCAGGAATTCACCTCCTTTGGCCATCCCACACACAGCTGACTCTCACTGACTGCTCGCAGCCTCGCACCAACCGGAGGTGGAGGAGTCATGTGACTCGTTACACTCGTCGCTGCACACAACCGAGGGAGTCCTGCACTTTCCGTCTTTGATGACACGTAAAATAAACTGTGCATACCGCAGGAACGGTATAACGGAAAATTTTAGTGGTTTTGAAACTGTGACTTTTCCAAACCACGGTATACCTTGAAACCGGTTATCGTCCCATGCCTACAGTCGACTGTGGCATAATAAAAGCTCCGCTGCTTTCGAGCTGTGTGTCGTGCTCGTTCAGCGGCCTCGTTTTGCTTCGAGGGCTTTCAGCCTCACCCTGCTTCATACTACGACGTTAATAAATCTTTAAAGGGGTCCTATTATGCTTTTTCACTTTTTCAACTTTAGTTAGTCTGTAATGTTGCTGTTTGAGCATAAAAAAGATCTGCAAAGTTACAAAGTTCACTTCAAAAGGAGATATTTTATTTAACAGAAATCACTTTTCAAAAACTACAACGAATGACTCGTTTGTACTACAACACATATTTTCCGGGATTTGTGACAAATATTGACGAATGGGATGAGACCTGGTTGAGCTGCACTAGAGAAGGCAACGAGTGTTATCACTATGTTGGAGACACGCTAGCTTTCCCAAGGCAGACAAACTTAGAGCAGTTACAATCATCCGGGTTTAATTCACGCTCAAATTGATTTGATATTGACGCAATATTTACACTGAAGCTCGCAGGCGGCTGTGGTAAGGGGCATAACATTTCCCGACCAGGTGCCGACTGCCGAGTGGAGCCAATCACAACACACACTGGCCCAGCTAACCAATCACAGCACATTGCGTCTTTCAGAAGGCGGGCCTTCATTTGATACAGGAACTATTCGAGCCGTTCATGCCAGACTGGGGAGAGAGGTGTTGTAATAATGTAAAACATATGAAAAATAATGTGTTTTTCGAACAACCTAGTATGACAGCCTGTTCTAGTAAACCCCCAAAACAAAATCAAGACTTTGTAAAAGAGCATAATAGGACCCCTTTAATACATTAGCTCATTCATTAACATGATTTCTGCCTGAGTCCCATCGGATTGCTTCAGCTGTGTGGATGAAGACGACAACTCCCATGATTCCACACTCAGTCACGGCATCATCAAACTACGCCTTTGTTTCTTTTGAATACGCACCCTCTAGCGGCAAAAATTACATATTGTGCCTATTGGTGACGGAGATTTACCGCTGATTAAAGAACCGGCTTTACTGCATATGAATATAATTGCGCATATTGTAATATCATATTACATAATGATGGAGGAAGTCTTATTGGAGCAAATTGATTCGGTCAATGTCACTCTAATAAATATGGAGTAGGGCTGCACGATAAATCGCATGCGATATTTAACGCGCATCTTGTCAGAAAGTCGGTTCTTTAATCAGCGGTAAATCTCCATCACCTGCGGGCTTTCACACAGAGCAGCATTAACTACACAGAGCCGTTGTTCACTGACGAGCTGCGTAAAAAATCGCGCGAACATGAACGTGGTTTTGCGCAACTCGTCAGTGAACAACGGCTCTGTGTAGTTAATGCTGCTCTGTGTGAAAGCCCTCTCATCTCATAAGTCTGTGACCTTTATTACATCAAAGGTCAAAATCACAGGACTTTATAGGTGCAAAAGATGCAGGGATTTCCATAATCTGAGGAATCGTTTAGGCATTCCAATTCAAATTGGTCATTTAACCTTGTTAAGTCACATGTCACTGATGAACCAATGACCTACTTGTGCTTTCAATGGTGGGGAGCAATGCATGGCATCAGAACACAATTCCATAATGTAGCTCTAAGCTGACAGACACAGTTATGGGTTTGCATAACCATCTGCTTCCCCATCGTCTTTATCAAGTCGAGACATGTGGATGGAAGATCACAGCAGCTTGTGTCAGGTGAGCGGTTTTATCTTTTCATTTGATGTGTAGATAGTGATAATAAAGTGTGATTTGCCAACTGCCACTCACCACTTGATCCATATAAAATAGCACAATATAAAGCTACATTCACATTAGCGAAACTTCAGTTAAATTTTGTGAAAAAAGTCCATTGTCTATTGTCATTAGTGTAGTGATGTAAAGCTCAGGTCACTTTCAAATCAAGCAGTTTTCTGAATCTGTGTGACTGTTGTGAAATCGGTGTGGGGAAATCTTTCATCCTCACGCAAAATTCCCATTCGATTGGATTGCTACTGAAATGACTGAAGTTTGCTGGAAAAAAAACAAAAAAAACACTGAGCTATAGTAAACGTGACAACACCATAGCTATGTCAGACACAAGCAAGTAGTTTCTTAATATACTACATAAAGAAATGCAACAGAACAACTTGTACCTGAACTTTAAAGGGGTCTCAACCCTCTTTTTAGTTGTGATATACTGTCTGTCTAAATTACATTCACACTGGTGTTTTAGAAGCCAAACGAATTAGAATATAATAATATTATATAAATTCTTAATTTGACAAATGATGCTGGAGAAAAACTGACTTTAGTAAATAGGCAAGTGTTTTGCATTATGAGTGTGAAAACCGAGAGATACATGTTCATGTACTTTTCTAATTGGCTGTGATTTTGCTGCATTGCAAAGCATTTTTGCTTTCGGCATAGAGAAAAAAACATGCCACTGAAATCTTGTCCTATCATGCCTGGGTAGGATGTAGTGTAAGGGTTTTAAAGTACTAAATGAACATTAAGTTACATAATATTTAGGAATTAACATGAAATCATAGTCTCCTTTCATTCTCCTAAATGCAAAAGTGGTGAAAGTAAAGTCCCTTTGGCTGTAACGTGGAGAGCTGCAGGTCAGTGGCCCAAAAAACAGGAGCTCAGCTGCTGTCATTATGGGATTAGAGGTGACTCAACCTGTGCGATAACACAGCCCTGTGGCCTTCAGCCACTTTCATGCTATGTCCACACAAAGTCAATTTATCCCCTCCCTTCAACACATCAGGCACCCTGGCCAAAATACTTATTCTACTTTGGTTTGAGCTCATCGTCACCAGGACCTGATGAAGAAGAAAGATAAGAAAACACGTATTGTCCTAATGAAAAGTCATGCTCATCAACAAGCAGCTGTAGTTAAGTGTTGTACTGTGCCCATGTTTGGTCCACAGCCACATTGTGGAGTTCAGCCATCCTCATGCTCTCTGGAGGCCTCTTCATTTCCCACACCTCATTACATAGCCTCTTCTCTCCCACCAAAGCAGCTACTAAAAGCTAATTAGCTGCCTCTCTCACTTACTCAGACATTGGTCGAAGTCTCAGAGTGAGTATGTTTCTCAGGGGACTTCACTTATGGCTTACTGAGTTGAAGTGGACTTAAAACTCATGTCTTCTGTAATGTTCAAGGACTTGGTGATACGTTATTAGCACAACTCAAGTGTTTTTTCACTGGTTGAACTCACATTGGCACAACTGCAAAAAACAGGTGAGATAAAAACAAAAGAAACAAACAGATGAGTTACTTTTATTTTACTAACCCATTTTTGAACGTTTTATTTTTTTATTTTACACTAAGCTGTTTTTTGATAATATTTTTTTGAGGTGAATTTAACCATAATTTAAATTATTTGAACTTAACCAAATATTATAAAAAATTTAACAACTCTCGTGATAATTCTTATATCCAAAACATTTACAAACATCTTTTCTGTTCCACTACCATTACTTAAAATGTGCAAGCTATTTAATGTTAACTAACTGACAAATAAATAAATAACCAATGTTTTAGCAAATTCACTAAGTATGTCTCCATTTTGGGATGGAAAGGATAACTTTTCAATCTCCTTATTAATATATTTTACATTGAGAATACTGTTACACTCAAAAATCCATTGCATTACAGAAGTAAAGTGAATTGCCAACAATGATTCACAATGACTTTAAATTTATAGACACATTTCACCCTAAATTCAAATATCACAGCTTTTTTGTGAACCCACTTTCTGTGTATGACCTCCAATTCAAAATAATAGTTTACAGGTATTAGACCAGCTGGAGCCTGTATCAAGCAAAATGCTCTAGCTTTTTCGGATCTCTAATTCTTCCCAAATGACACAAGAATACATTTTAGATAACAGCATGGTGTTCTTAAGCACAAGTACACCTTATATACAGTCTGCACAATGTTAAGGCAAGTGTTTAGGAACCTCATTACATAAAGTCTATGCAATGTGAATTCCGTGCTCTACAGAATCTATATAAAACTGTCATTTCTGTAGGCTGAAACATAAGTTAAATAGACCCTGACCCCTTAAATCTGTCATCAGGGCTACAATAACTGTCCCAAGGTAAGGACACCTGTGCATGCTTTGGAACAAATGAGATCAGGCCTGGACTAATAGGCTTGGCTAAAAGAGGGCCTTGCTCATGTTGAGTAATTAACGCAAGCAGGATTATCAACATGCGTTACCCATCAACACTTGGAACAAAGAAACGGGGACAAGAGCAAATGTGCGTATATTGTGCGTATCCCTGGGTAAGAATAAAAACGATTGGGATTATCTCAGTTGTAAGATCCTTACCAGTACATCATTGCAGATGTCCTTCAACTCCTTCTCGATCTTTTCCCGATATTCCTTGACCATTTGCTGCTTCTTATCGCTGCCCTCCGTCTTCTGCTCGATGCTGGAGACCACTCTCCAGGAAGAACGGCGGGCACCCACCACGTTCTTGTAAGCCACCGAGAGCAGGTTGCGTTCCTCGTTAGACAGTTCAATGTCACCCTCAGTGACAGACTTCATAGCGGCTGCCATGTCATCATAGCGCTCTGCCTGCTCGGCCAGCTTGGCTTTTTGCACTAGCTCGCTCTTGTCCATGGCTGCTCAGTGCTGGGGAAAACGAGAGTTACAGAGTTCAGTCAGACACCGAATCTGATTTATTTAAGGTGAAACAGGCGACCTACAAACCTACCCTGAAAGTTTAGTTTTAGACAAAACAACTTTAAATGAACTTGAAGAGCTTTGCACAAACAATAAATATATATATATATATATATATATATATATATACACACACACACGTGCTGTAATATTTATCTATGGTCAGTTTGCGTCATCTGTCCTTTTATTATGTATCCATTTATTTTTATTATTGAATATATGCAAGAACACTGGACAAACATCCTTGCGGAAGTGCTGAAAAATTCCACAGCAGTGAATCAATTTTGCTGGCATATCAGATATCACAAGATGTGCTGCTGTGCTACTCTTCTGACCATGCACATTATATAATGCCATGCATATTATATAAATAAAATATATATAACATTGTTTTCGTCATTATACAACAAAATATACAACAACCCGTCAAATAGTTGCTATCTACGCGCACCATTACTTTCATCTAAATTATAGAAAGCCTTCGGTGTAATATCAAAAAAAAGGGAAAACAAAAGAGAAACGGAAGTTACCAAAAAGCACTCTGCAAACATCAAAAATTCTAGCTGCCAATCTTGCACACAGCAAAAAAAAAAGAGAGACCATAAGTATTTGCCCTCCAGGGGCGCATTACATTGCGAAGAAATATGCGGATGTGCTGTTCTCGACAACCACGCCCAGTTCTCATAGCTACCCATTCACGCGCTTTACATATTATGTCTTAAAGGGATAGTTCACCCTCAAAAAAATGAACATTCTGTCATCTTGAACTCACCCTCATGCCGTTCCAAACCCGCATGACTTTCTTTCTTCCGTGGAACACCAACAGAGATGTTTGGCAGATTGACAGCCTCGGTCACCATTCATTTCCATTGTAAAGAAAAAACATGCTCAATGTTCGTCAATGGCGACTGAAGCTGTCAGTCCGTCAAATTCTGATGAACGCGTTTCACGAAATACAGTTAAGCGGGTTTTGACATAATGGTATGTAAATAAAGACCATTTTGGGTGAACTATCCCTTTCGAAGTTTCCATGCGCTAAAAACTAGGTGACTTGCTGACTACACAAAGCTTAACCAGCAACATCAGACTACAGCCGTGGGACTTGTTTATTACGAATGTTTCATGGTGCAATGCATACAAACAACAGCGCTGCCCCGCACTACATCAAATGTGGCAAGCTGAAATGTCATGGTTACATATTTTACTGCTGCTTTCAGGTTTAAAGCAAGTTAGCTTGGTGGCTAAGCCATATGATGAAGGCAGGACTGCCCTGCCCATCTTCCATGGCTGACTGACCTCACAGCAAAAAAAAAAAAAAAAAAACCCCGCTGCTATATGTAATGTCAGGACACCACTAATGCGTTTTTAATGATTTGCCCAAGTACTGTGTGTCGGTAAGACTGATAAGGCAAATGGAGGCGGTGTGTGTCAGGCGGGTCTCTCGATTAAAAGACATGCTGGAAGCTCGTCTGATAATATCAACCGAATTGCCAGAAACCATCGAAGATAGACGGAGACTCGTTAAATGTGTTACCATAACAGGAGCAAGTAGAGTTGACTGAATTAACAGTGGCAGAATTGAGGACTCGGATGAGAGAAAGGCTTCGGCTTGTATCAGCACCAAAAATGCACTGAAACATTATTTTACGCAAGGATGCACAGAAAACTGCAACTGATGACCAGAGTATGATCTAAACCCTACAACGTGTCATTTTAGCCATCACTTTAAATGCAATCTCGACCACATCAGATAACATACCAAGAGGAGGAAACAAAAACGGGCGGCCTAGATCTGCCAAGCAAAGGCTTATTGTTCATTTTCAGCACGTTAGCATCACTAGCTATTCAGTCATGTGCCTTGCATCGTCCATCGCCGTTTGAATTTCATATCTCATCGCAAATGATAAAACAGGACTATTGCGCATGGAATATATCCAGATCTGGCGGATTCTCTTACCTGAGTGTCTGGGAATAAGGACTGTCCTGTCGGAGCTAAGCTAACCGCTGCTCACAGCTGATTCTCACGGCGGTCGTGCTAATCCACGGGGTTTCCCTCCAATCAGACCAGCCCCAGGAGCCGAGACAAGGCTGGGCCACGTGACGTCAAGGGTAACCAAGGCGACGGCTGACCTCACGTTGTCTGTGATTGCACGAGAGCCTGTTCGTGATTCAGTGGCGTACCACTTTTCCTTCCACGAATCCACGCCCGCCTGTTTCCATAAATTATACCACCAAGGTCTATCCGTTTAGGTTATGTTTTATTATTAAAATCCGAAAAGAATGTAAAGTGTATTATTAACTGCGTAGTTTGGAGATGAGTCAATTTGTTCCATGTTTACAAGTGTGCACATCAATAAGATGGTTGGATAGCTTATGAATGACAAATGTGACCCTGGAACACAAAAACAGTCATAAGTAGCACAGGTATATTTGAAGCAATAGCCAGCAATACATTATATGGGTCAAAATGATCAAATTTTCTTTTATGCCAAAAATCATTAGGATATTAAGTAAAGATCATGTTCCATGAAGATATTTTGTAAATTTCCTACCGAAAATATATCACAACTTATTTTTTGATTAGTAATATGCATTGCTAAGAACTTTATTTGGACAACTTTAAAGGCGATTTTCTCAATATTGTGATTTTTTTTTTTTGCACCCTCAGATTCCAGATTTTCAAATAGTTGTATCTTGGCCGAATATTGTCCTATCCTAACAAACCATACATCAAAGGAAAGCATATTTCAGCTTTCAGATGATGTATGAATCTCAATATAATTTTTTTTTTTACCCTTTTTGGCCCAGGGTCACAAATATTTATATTTAGAAAACTGCTTAATGAGGGCCCTCACATAATTCAGTGCTTCAAATGGTGTTATTAAAAGTATAATGAATATAAAAATCCTCCACAAAAATTTTTAATTCTGTTACATTTCTTGAATTGAACTATGCCTAAATATTTCTATTTGCAACTAGGTAGTTGTAATGAATAATTTTTTTTCTTTCTGAAAATCATGGAATGGCGATTGTGAAGAGACCATCATGAGCAAAATTAGAACACAGGCCATACTGCGCTTGCTTGGTAGTAGAGGAGCTAATTCTGCACTACTCCAGTTTGTTTCCATGGGGAATGAGTCTATTTTCTACATTGTCACATGTCCTCCCATCAGATATGAATTCAGTAACCTATTTCGGGGCAAAACTCTGTATTATTGGTGCAAGTTAACTCCACAGTGAGACCGAAGCATTTATACAACCAGTGTGTGTGCTAACAAATGCAACAGCAGTTTCATTTGAATGTGAACAGTGATTACCGAGTTTGTTCTGTAACTAGTAGGGCAGGTTTTTCAGTTTTCTTAAAGTCACACCCCAGTACAGCACTCAGAGAATGACAGTTCAAAGTAACGTGAGAGACTCATCCGACACTATAGTGTGGTTATGTTAGTGCACTAAAAAGAGAAAACTATGCAGAGAACAATGTTAGTGAATCAGACAAAATTCCAGTCGTTATCTTTGCAAAGGGTGTAGATGCCTTTTCCAGAAATGCTTCTGTAGCTTGCTATTGTCAAACACATAGTTTACATAAAAGTATTTCACCTTATGCTTATGATATAATATCTTGATGACAGGAATACAAAGGCTCCTGACACCACCAAACAACACATTTCAGTATGCTGATTTGCATATAAGTGTTCTCTTTTGCTGTGGTAAGAGTCAGTCAGCCTAGATTTGATATTTCTAAAGGAATTAGGCATGGGGTGCCCTGTTATCGCCATACCTCTTTTTGTTAGTAAGTCAGCTTCTTTCCTCTCATATTATATCGCTATTGTTGATAGAGAGATAATAATTACACAATTAGCCACTACTCTCTTTATTCAAAATGAGAATCAGATATCTGTGTAAATTTTCAGGAGCATCTGGGGTATTCTTAAATTTGGCTAATGAGCTTATGGCCATAAAGGAATGTCTCGAAACTAGCTATAATTCCCTTAAAGAATGAGGTTCAATATCTTGGAATATTGATAACCAAAGACCAGAAAAGAAGGTGCTTGCTAAATTTTAGTTCTATTATTGAAAAAAAAATTAAAAGACGTTAAATCATTGGCTTATAAGAGACCTTTGTTTAAGGGGTAGAGTTTTAATTACACAGGCAGAGGGTATTTCTAGACTTATTTATGCAGCAATGGCTTAACATCTTGAAAAAAACTATGAAAAGAAATTGACAAAATATTCATTGACTTCATTTTGAAAAATAAAATACATTACATGAAGACAGTTATTATGAATTAATATAAAAATGGTGGCTTAAATGTTCTGGACTTTGCAACAATAAATAATACATGTAAGGTTAATTGGCTTAAACAAACTGTTAAAAATTCTGATTCCATTTGATGTTTATGCAGTGTGTAATACAGCTCTAAGTGAATGAAAACATCATGCAAAGTTTTAAATCTGAAAGTGCACTGTGTATAAAGTTACTGTCTCTCAAAAGTCGGCTCTGAATCATTGAAACAAGTCTTTTTTAAAACGAATCCCAAGCCGTTTCATGTTGAAGTCAACATGAAATATTAGCATATTGTTGCGCGCGCAGACCCGGGAAAACATTCATTCTTTGCCACTAGGTGCTGCTTTTGGAGCGGTAAAAGTAGCTGTTTCCTAACGGCTGTACACAAAGCAGCACTGCGCTCACAAACCATTACAGGCCTGATGAAATAAAATCGACCAAAAGGATCACTGCAGATTAGCCTCACGCAAAGGAGGGGTTTTGAAAAATGAATGGCTGAGGGAATCGTTTGGGAGTCGTTGAGCAAATAAGGTTAAAAAAACAACAACCTTGCATGCATGTCAACCTGTTGTTGGGGACTCCCAAAACCAAAATATGAACCTTTCATAACCCATAATAGGGGCACTTTAAAAAACACGTCCAAAATCGCGTATAATGAGCGGACCTGGCAACACTGAAGGGTTAATAATGTTTGTGAGCTAGCGGCAGCGCGAGAGTTTAGACAGCATGGGTAAGTTAGCAGTACTCTCGTTGTCTGTTGCAGCTCTTGCAGTTTTGATCGGAGAAAGACTCATTACATTAAGGTTGGTTGATGTGTCCTATCGTATATGTATTTTCTACACGCTGCTCTGATCTTTGCTGATACTATTGACATATTAATTGGTGTTTATATGTAATTATTGCACATGACAATACTCATAGCAATATATATTATATAATATGACTATATATGTTTTGTCTTCTTTACAGGCATGTATCACTTTACTACAGAGAACTTACTCAGAACTACCTTCCGAACTGTCACCATATAGAGGGCATAGGTAAACCCTGTATTGATTGCCATGTTTTCTGGTCACGTGTCAGTTCATGGACTGAATTTACCAGTCTGGACCTAATGTATTCTTATTTATGCAATTCTACATGCGAGGTAAAAAAGAAAAGAAAAAAAGGAATAGTGTAGGCTAAGTTTTGTAGTGTTGTGCTTTTATAATTTATTCTGTAATTGAGTTTTTGTCACTGTTGTGATGATCTGTAGTGTCATTTTGTTTGCTGTTTTAAACAGAATGTGGGGCTGAAGATATCACAATACTTGAAAATGGACTGGCCTTTCTGAGCACTGTATGTCATAAAACTAAAAACACCTGATTGTTGAAGTACATTAATTATATACATTTGACCATTAAAAAATGCAACTATTTATGCTTAGTGCGTGAAGCATCCAGACTTACCGTCCTATTCAGATGACCCTGGAAAGATCTACACCCTGAATCTGATGGATTCTAAAATGAAAATTAAAGCACTGAACGTCAAGGGAGACTTTGACAAAGACTCTTTTAATCCACATGGAATCAGCCTGTACACGGATGACAAAGGTTTGCCATTTTCATTCAATAAATGTATACATAAACAAGAAAAGTTTCATTCCTTATTGAACTGCCTATATATTGATATTACATAATATTACCTACACACATAAGTAGTTATTGTGAAATGTTAAAACTATATTAAACGGATGATTGTGAATGAACCTAAGTGTATAAATTCTTCTCTCACTACAGTTGGTGCCGTATACCTATTTGTTGTTAATCATCCTCAAGGCAACAGTCAAGTGGAGATTTTTCGATTTGTTGAGGATGAAAATGCTCTTCAGTACATCAAGACCATCAAGCATGAACTCCTGCACAAGTATGTGCTCCATTAAACCACAATATTGCTGTAACATACCCTAGACCTAAAGTATAAATTCCAGTGTATTTATCATTAGTGTGAATGATATAGTCGCTGTGGGGACCGAAAGCTTTTATGCCACCAATGATCATTACTTCACAAATGGGATTCTCAAGTTTGTGGAGCCGTTTCTGTCTTTGCCCTGGTGTGACGTGGTCTACTACAGCCCTCAGACCGTGCAGGTTGTGGCAGGGGGCTTCTTGCTCGCCAACGGCATAAATATCTCCCCTGACAAAAGGCAAGTTTTAGAAAAAAAATATCAAGATTTGCATATGCATGTACTGTTATCAAATCATTTATTGCGTAATCATGTCCTGTTTATAACCTGTCATTTCAGGCATTTGTATGTGGCAGACCTCCTGAAGCACAAAATTGTTGTCTTGAAAATACAAAACAACACTGTATTGTCCCATGTAAAGGTAAACAACAAACTACTTGAAATGTTCACACCTTATTTTATCCCATACAGGATTATTTTTCATAGATTAAAGTATAGAATTTCAGCTTTATTGTGTTTGCTTCAAATAAAACAACAATGAATCAATGAATATTTAATAGTTTTTAAAATAACAACAACTACTCTGACTGCTATTGCTAATATTATGGCTTGTTCATTTTTCTTACCCAGGAGGTTGATGTGGGGTCACTCTGTGACAACATTGAGGTGGACCGTGAATCTGGAGATCTATGGCTGGGATGCCACCCAAACGGTCGCAATTGGTTACTTCAAGATCCGAACGATCCACCTGGTTCTGAGGTGTGTGAATGTATGCAGCATATTTAAATGCTTGAGCTGTGGCCTAGTGTTTAATGCCCATGCTCAA